AGGAGTATTCTTACAATGGGGTACCCAAAAGAAACCGAACTAATTTTTTTGTGGGCAGAGCTTTTGTAGTACCGTGTTTTGCCGCTATGAGCGCATAGAGCTAACATTCCTGAGTTGATAAGCCAACTACCATTGCTTCAGTAGGTAAGGACTAGTTTCGGCAGAGTTTATAGTGACAACTGTTTTGTGTGATCGTCATTTTTGCAATGGCTGATTTTCGTGAACAGCGTGCGGCGGTGAAATTCTGCTTTTTGCTCGGGAAAAGTGGAACAGAAACTCTTGAAATGTTAAAAACGGCGTACAAGGACGATGCTATGGGGAAAACTCAAGTGTTTGAGTGGTTTTCCCGTTTCAAAAATGGTGAAATGTCAATTGATGACAAACCTCGTTCTGGTCGTCCTTCCACGGCCCGAACACATGAAAATGTTGAAAAAATTCGTGAAATCATCAAGGAAGATCGACGACGGACCATTGAAGAAATTTTGGAGCTGTCGGGAGTGACTTGGAGCTCAGCGGCCAGATTTGTGGCAGTCAGGTGACTGGTTTTTCCATCATGACAATGCCCCTGCTCACACAGCCCTGTCTGTACAACAATTCTTGACCAAAAATGGTATGACCCCTGTTCCTCACCCTCCATACTCACCTGACCTTGTCCGTGCGACTTTATTTTGTTTCCTCGAACGAAAAGAGACATGAAAGGAAAAAACGACGGAGGCGCTGTCAAGCATCTCAAAAGATGAATTTAGACAATGTTTTGAAAAATGGAATAAAAGACTAGACAAGTGTATTAGTGTAAGTGGAGAGTACTTTGAAGGGGATTGAAGGTTTGTGCTTGAAATTTGAATAAATAAGTTTAAAAAAAATAAGTTCAGTTTCTTTTGGGTACCCCCTCGTATGACATCCCCTTATTACTGTCTCACGTAACTAGAACACAAATATTGAACGAGTCGTTTCACAGTCGCTCTTGTAGTGCTACCACTCTCACTAGAATGTAGAACTCTCCGTCTGGGCTAACCACTCTCTTCTGTCGGTGCAAACTATGCACACTGTTAGCAAACTGTCTTCTCCCTGCGCTCACTGTACACTGACTTGTCACACACACCACGCACAAACTCTTCTATCGGTCCACAGTTTCTGTCAGCCCACACAGCCTTCTGTTTGTATACACTTTCTGGTGCGTGCTTCGCGTTGCCTGAGTCAGCGATTCTCAACATGGTGTGTGGTCAGTCACCACATTGAACCTGATGATTGAGATGGGGGTGATCTTTGAAACTTTAGTTTTTAACTCAACATTGACATGGCAGATCACCTGAGAAGATTCTGGCACTTTATTCACCATGAAGACCTAGCATCTTATAAGACTGATTGTCACTAGCATTCCTAGAGGATCACATGATTTGCTTTATCTGGTCTTTCACAAGGTGGAAATTAAACTAAAAACTGAACAATAACCATGATTTCATGAATGCATATACAATGGAGTATTTTTTGTTATTCGCTGAGAGGTGGAAGATTCAGTATGTTTCATAATGTCTTCATGTATTGCACACTGTAATTATACAGTTAAAAAAAGGGTAAAGCTATCCCTGTAACAGGCTGTGGAGGACCATAGGGTTGAGAGACACTTGAGGCTCACAGATGGTGGTGAGGTTGTCAGCCTCATGCACCTGCTGCCCTTTACCCCTACGAAGATTCCTGGTACTCATTTCTATTTGAGGCTGAGTCAACCCCAAGGCGGTAGTGTGGCTGGAAAATTAGGGTTATTCAAAAATCCAATAACCTCACTGGGAATCATATTTAATGACAGCAATCATATATTTCACAATGTACTAATATTATAATACACTGATATGTTGGGATTTTGGACTTTATCCATCGTCCTGGTTTTTAAGATAACAAATAAAAACACGACGTTTCGGAAACTGGATCTGTTTCCGTCATCAGGTGAAGGAAAACACCTATTCAGTTGGGTCCCTTAGAAAGAGCTAGCCTCAATCACTGGACAAACCAATGTCACAAAACATGAAGATTATAAACACCTGAGACCAGGCTAAGTCCATGAGAGCTAATAAGAAAAATATTCATAACAAATTGTAGCAAACACTTACAAGCGTGGAACCAGGATAGATAGATTTGTAGAAATTTATGCCACGAAACTAAACTATAACCAGGTCCATGACCCCACGGCATGGAATAGAAAGAAGAACTAGTAACAAAAAACTAATAGTGTTTAACCAGCGTCAGCAATGGAGTAAATCACGTCTATCTAATTTAGAACTTAATAGAAATAAATGAAAGCACATATCACATCATACAGATCTTCTATGTGAATTGGTGACTTCATTGCTGATAATGGGGATCCAAATGGGAGAAAAGTCCAAACTGGGTTGGCTAATTGGGTTGGCCGAGCATGCCATATGGGCCGCTTCCTTGTATTTCCT